TCCAAAACACATGTTTCTCACGATCATGAACAAAAGAAGAAATACACAAAAAAAATACAAAGGATATCAAGAAAGATTAAACACCTAAAAGATCCAGAACACATGTATCTAACGATCATGAACAAAAAAGGTAAACCGTTTGCAACTTAAAACTTAACATTTATGGCATATCGTAACAGAACACATGTATACATTTTTGTTTTATAATCTTTATAGGCAACAACTCCGGAAACTCTGTTTTCAACTTTGTCGGATCGAGCTCATTGTTACTCCTCGGAGCTACAATCACTTTCGGTTGCTCTTCCAATGTGAAGTTCTTCCAAGTAAAACTCGGATCTATAAACTCTCTGTACATCTCTAAGATCTCGTTGTGGCTCACAACCCCAGGATTGGTGAAGTTCCGTATCCCTGTCAAGTTCCGCTTCGCCATTTAGTTTGGAATGTCCACGACTTTCTCATACCGAGCTATCTTCGTGATGAAGTTTCTCGGATTTGAAAGATCCGATGAGATTGGCATTCGTACTCGAAGCGTGCATACATTTTCATAGTTCTTGAGCAGTTCCTCTACCTAATACATTCCCAAGTCATCAAAATCAAGAACCATTATTAGAGGCTTAGAGCCATGAACCTTAATATCACACAACCAAATCTGAAACATTGAGCTACTAGTCATCAAAATTAAGAGCCATGATCTTAACATCACAGAACCAATCTGAAACATTGAGCTAAGCTAATAGTCATCAAATCAAGAACCATTATTAGAGCCATGAACCTTAATACCACACAACCAAATCTGAAACATTGAGCTACTAGTCATCAAATTAAGAGCCATGATCTTAATATCACAGAATCAATCTAAAACATTGAGCTAATTAATAGTCATCAAATCAAGCACCAGAACTAAAACCAAGATTCCAACATATACTGAGCCATGGTTCTAGTATGCAGAACATCAGAAACATCGAAGTGATTATCTACATTTCATAAACCCACAAGCCACAAAGACTACTATATATGACTAGTGACTCATTGCTACAAACTAAACCAGAGAAAATGGCAGGATTATTTGATAAACAAGCTGATCTTTACCTCGACGCAAGACCTAATTACCCAGCGGAGTGGTTCTCAAAGCTCGCAAATCTCACCGATCACCACGCTTTAGCCTGGGATGCCGCCACAGGCAACGGCCAAGCAGCTCTCGCCGTCAGTATTCGATGCTCATAAACTTCGTTTACCCAACTGGATCTCAGATTTCACAGATTTAGCATCAGATCTTGGATTTGACAAATTTCGCCATGTTAACAGGTTGCAGATCACTACGAGAGAGTCATAGCGACGGACTTGAGCGAATCGCAGCTGAAGCTAGCAACGCCGCATCCGAAGATCGATTATCGCCATATTCCGTCGTCGATGACCGACGACGAGCTAGTGGAGCTAATCGGAGGAGAGAACTCGGTGGATCTCATCACCGTCGCTCAAGCCGTACACTGGTTCGACCTCCCAAAGTTCTACGCAATCGCCAAGCGCGTCCTCCGTAAACCCGGCTGAACCATCGCCGTGTGGGGATACAACGACGTCGTGGTGACACTGGAGTTCGACGCCGTCCAGTGTCGATTCCACACTCAAACGCTGCCATATTGGAAGTACCTGAACATTCAATACATCTTCGATTCGTACGAATCATTACCGTTTCCATTCGAAAGCGTGGAGATGGGATCGGAGAGAGATGAAGAACAGAGGGAAGTGTGAGGATAAAATTGTCCTTTTCTAATAAAATAGTGACATAAATGTAAAAGGTACTCTGCGTGTGGCATTTTTGTAAAGTCTTCATCTATTTGTGGTATTTTTGTAAATGCCCCTATTTTAATTATTCGTGAACAGGACAAAAAAAATGCATAGTTTATTTTCGAGAGATTCGCATGTGTGGCACACGTGTGCCCAAATACTTGGCGAATCGCGACACGTACGCGTGAGAAGAGCACTGGTTGAGTTAGTAGAAGATCAATCTAACACTGTCCAATAACAACGTTTCTCCATCGTCCGATTCTTACTGGCCCCATTCTACCGAATCTGCTCAGTCAAAAGTCTTCCCTATTAAACATGTTTATTGGTGAATTTTTGTGGGTATCATTAAATATAAAATTATTAAAATTTGAGTAAAAAGAAGAAAGAGAGTGTTTTTGGTTGAAATAATAGGGTGTATTGAAATATAAAATTAATAAAATTTGAGTAAAGAGAAGAGATAGTAGGTATTTTTTGGAGAGAGAGTATCAAGAGTATCAAATAGTTGATACTTTTGAATAGAGAAAGAGTGTGTTTTTAATAATTTTATATTTAAAGAGGGTATAAAATTAATAAAAATTGAGTAAAAGAAAGAAAAAGAATGTATAAAATTGAGTAAAAGGAAGAGAGAGCGTGTTTTTAATAATTTTATATTTAAAGAAACTCACAAAAGTTCATTGATAAACATGACCTAAGTATTACTC